CTAATATTAATATATAGAATATGTAATACTGTCAGGAAACTAGTTTTTTTTTATATACATCATACTACTTTAAAACTAAGGTAGAGACTGGCAAACTTATGTTTCTGTTAAGATATTTTTTAAAAGTCTCAAAAACTACTCTCTTTAATAAAGTCAGCAAATATATTTGAAATGTACACTACATTTAGCATACTAAAATTTTCTCTGTATTTTTGGTTATGCAAATAACATATCTAATTAAGTTTCTAGGTAAAGCTAATTTCCATATCCATGATTTACCATATTAGTGCAACTGATGACAAATATATATTCACAGTGAAGAACTCTCAATGTTTGTGTATTATATATACATACACATATAATATACATATACATGAGCCGTCTTATCTATAGCTTTTAATTCCTTAGAAGGAAAATGAACATTAAATGAATTTGATTTTAGTTTGAAAAGAATCAGACAAAAACAAGCTTTCCTCCAAAATTCAAAGTCATGGAATAATTGTGTTAACTTCTTATTTGATTAGGAAAACATTAAGGGGCAAGTAAACGTTCAAAGTGAAGTGTAGTAGTCATCAGAACTTCTATTCATGCTAATTGGAGGCTAAGTTCCCTGAACGGTGCTTTGAACATACCCCTAGAACTTTTAAAAATGTTGCAAAACACATTAAAACATGGAATGTTTTTAGATTCTCCACTCCTTTTAAACACAAAGGAGAAAAAGTGCAAAGGCAGGCAGTCTCTATTTTTTTTCAGTACACATGAAAGATTTTTAATAACATTGTTCTCAGTTGTAAAGTCTTTGACCATTATACAGTTAGGAAGCACCAGAAACACCCCAAAATTTATTTGGTGCTGGGAACTGCCATTGTAGGTGTCAGTGAAATGGTCCAAAATAGTAGCAGTCCTATATAGAAAAAATATGCATTCTTCTATTCCAAAATTTAACAGAAAATATAATATTTCTTGTAATGAGTCAGAGAGTGAGATTTTTGTATGGCTTTTTAGACCATATGACGTGTAGATCCAGCTTATAGTTTTAGAAGGATCACTTATGTAAGAATTCAATTGGTGGAGGCATGGAGGAAATGTAGATGTGCCTACCTTGACAACAAATTTAGTAAACCACAAGATCAATCAACTTTTGTTGTTAAATATTGCCTTTAAATATTAACAGAAGTAGACAATCTGGAACAATAATGATACCTGCGAGGTTTCCCCTGCAGTGTTCAGATGACAGCTAGAATACGATGTTCTGCTGGCAGTGCCGGATGTTGATGAGGGTGAATGGAAGGGTGTTGACAACCTCCAGCATATAGGAGGAATGCAACTGGAATGAGCAGTCTGGAAGCCACGCATATGAGGAACCCTTAAAGAAGAGAGACTTGCAATTGTGTAATAACTGCCTATGCTATTTGAAGATTTCCACATTTGAGAAAGATGCTACTTTTTCTGTGTTGTTTTAAGAAAAATAAATAGGATAGATAGAGGAAGATAACAGTTCGCTTTTTACACAGCTCTCCAAAAAAGAATGGGATTTTTAAAAGACAAGTGAGCTTCTTGTCAGAGTAAGTGAACATAACTGAAAGAGTAGGAGAGGTTTTTGCTTGTGGAAGGAAGCTGGACTTCAACTGTGTTTCCTAATTCCTGGTGCTTTTCAGAATTTTATATGTGTATTATTATCATGGCTATTGTTTTAATATAGAACCCTTGAGCCACACTCTATGCTTAATGAATCAGAATCTCCAAGAATATACATCTATGATGGAGAATAAATATTTAATATAGAGAAAAAAACTACCCGGGGGAACACAGTCAGCAATGTCCAGGCATGTAGTTTTCATGATTTCTGTTAAGGTAATAAATATGATATGGTGATTTTAGAGTTCAAATTATAAAACAAAATTCAGATAAATTAGCATACATTGTTCATACAATATTTATTACATCTGTAAGATGGGTCAATCCAAATTTAATATTCTTAGAGATTTTTCAATCACTTAATAAACTTCTATTCTTATTATGTGTTGTGTTAGGCCTGAAGATGAAGAAATAGTTTGAGTAATCATTGCGTATTTTGTTTTCAGAGAGTGGAGCCTAAGAACCCCCACAGTGTTAGGATTATTAATAAGTAAATAAGCAATTTTAACTCATAAGAGCAATTGTTATATCATTGTAGTATTTCATAAGATTTCCTGGGTTCAGATTTGATCACCATTGCAGTTCTGCAATCTCAGGTAAGATTCCAAAGTCCTCTGTGCTATAGTTGTACCTTCTACAAAATGGGGATAGTAAAAGTTCAGATCTTTTAGTGTGTTAAAATGGTTAAAAGTCTTCATAAACCATTTATATAATGCCTGACACATGGTAATTAATTGATAATTATCAGCTATTATGAGCCTCATTTTGATTGTCATCTGGATGCTTCAACATGCAGAGGAAATGAGTGCTTTAGGAGAAGGAAAACCTCAATTCACTGGGGATATTATCTTTGTGATTTACATTACAACTTTTGATCTAAAAACCAAGTAGATCCCTAAAACCAAATGAAGACATACTAGAAATTTAAAAATGAAAGCAACACGTGGGGTATGTGAAGGGAGATCGAGATCTTGGAAACAGAACATATCAGTAAAAATTAGTGACACTGTTGCTACCCATGGGAATGTCTGGGTATCTCCCCAAGGCTAACTAAGATATTACTGCAGTAACTTACTTTACCGATCTGTCCTGTTCAGGGAACATTTCCATATGTTAGAAATCCTTTCACCAAAAGTAACATATTAAACTTGCCTAATCCATGCTCATATAAGAAGTTTTGATCAAAATAAAAACATTTTCCCATGTCTTGGAAACTGGAGAATTTCTTTACAACTTATAAGTAGGTTAATGTTAATTCTTCTAGGGAGAAAATACTTTTTTAAATTTGTATTTATTACCTTCCTTATTTTCCCTTTTTACCTAGTTGGTAAATATATTTCTAGGCATTTAGAATATGAGTAGATGACTTTAATAATAAATTCTAAATACTATGTATAAATTGAGAAGTCCTTTAACAAACATAAAATGTAAATAATTTTTCTCAATCACTAGTTTGCTTTTCACTTTTTTTTTTAAATAAGCGAGTAAGTTCACTTTCATTTCCTGAAAGCCCTTTTGTCAAACATGTGACTGTTGGTTTTCAGTGTAGCACAATGTTTAATTGAATGTCAGAGGAAAATCACCCAAATCAAGTTAGAAGAGGTAGTTTGACAGAGTAATGGCATCAACAGCCCATCCTGTTGGTTTGAGATGCACAACTCAGCAGTCATTGCCACCCATCATTATTTGGCTGAAGTGGGATGCATAGAGTAGAGCAAGCCAAAATTAAAACAACATAGGCCATGACAACTTAAGGATTAATACATACACATACCATTATATATTCCTAGATATCTCGCATGGATTTAACATATTTAAAGCAGCTTATATAAGGTTCATATATATGAGCTATTATTAAAGTAATGCTCAAATGAACATCTTGCCAATTGCTGAAGCTCCACCTAAGAGATGAAATTAGATGTTCAGGTTTCCTATTCGTTTTGCCACTGGTTATGTGGTTCTTCCTTGAGCGATAGAGTAGCACCTCTACCAGTGTGATCCAGAAGAGTCGCTAACATATTTTCTACTTTTAAGTAGAAAGAAGTTGTTTTTAAAAGTACAGTTTAAGCGTGGGTGTTGTAAAGCACATCAAAAGCCATATGTAGTAGACTGGAATCTTTGTGTTAAAATAAATATTGGGAAACATCATTTGTGTAAGTGTTGAAATAATTGATGATTCTATTGTAATTATCATGATTTTTTAAAAAAAGCCACATGCAATAAATATGTATATTGCAGCTGTGTTCCATTTCAAATCTATTGTAATAATATTGCAAAAGACATATATTCTTAAAAAAATTTCATCTTCTAGGGCTGCATTTCTCTGCCATGCTATACCAATGCAACATTTTCCTTTTTCTTTTTTCAGTTCCTGCTATTTGTCATGATTTTCTCTGTGCTTCCCAGTAATGCATGTGATTGTTGTTTCTATCCTTGTTTAAATATCTGGTCTAAGATAATTTCTATTTAAAATTCATATTATCCAAATTCTACTTAGTTTTTTTTACATACTAGTAGCTTTAGAGAAGTTTGTGGTTTTGTTTTGTTTTTTTGTAATATTGCACTAATTGTTTTCTGTAGAAATTTAAAGATATGACATGTGAATTTTTTGGGCACAAATGATAACCTGGTTTTCAATCTTATACGTGATGTTTGTTATATAGTACTTATATTATACCCATATGTTTTTGCTAATATTTGAATATTTGTTTCAGTTGCTCCCATTATTTTGTAATGGTCATATTTTAAAATTCTAAATTTGTTTTACATGTCATGCTTTTGTTGAACCTCACTATACCATATGTGTCATAGAATAAATGTTTAATACATATATATATTTCTCATAATCACAGAGCTATGTATTCAAGACAGTAGGAAATAAAAAGAAACAAAAAGCTACACTTTCCAAAGTGAGTTTGATCAAAAATATCTACAGAGCAAACAGCTTAATGTCAGCAATGGTTTCCAACAAAAACTACCACACTGAGTCCAACCATAGAACTTAGAAAAATGAAATTGTATCATTTGTTTAGAAATATGAAAACTATATTTAAACTTAAAGCCATCTTTAAAACCGCTTTTCTAAGCACATGAATTGGTCATGGATCATGACTAAATCCTCCAGATTTCATTTAAAAAAATTATGACTATAAAAAAGGATTGACATGTTTTGAGAGTATCTTATGTGGTTAAGTATGTGGGTTTTTCAAATAATTATTTTTCAGTAATTGCTTTACATACTCAGAATGTAATTATAGACCACCCAACAAGAGCAAACAATGAATAGCTGAAAAATATAGTAAATACAGTGTAACAAAAGTGAGAATGCGTAAATGTAACATTTGTTGTTTTATATATTCCAGATTCAGAACAATTTGTGGGCAGGAAATGCAAGCGGTGGCTCTGTGGTCACTTCATGCATGGTACCACGTGACACTTCCTCCTGTATGACACCTTATTCTCACTCGCCTCGGACTGATTCCAGTTACACGGGGTTTTCAAACCACCAGAACCAGTTCAGCCATGTGCCCCTCAACAATTTTTTCACTGACTCTCTTCTTACCGGGGCTACCAATGGACATGCATTTGAAACAAAGCCAGAGTTTGAAAGGAGGTCTTCCAGTATCGCAGTCCTACGAATGAAAGCCAAGGAGCACACTGCCAATATTTCATGGGCCATGTAACATACAGTACTCTTATTTTTCTTTAAATGGAAAAGTAAAACATTCTTATTTCTCATATTTAAAGGATACCACAATAAGCTGCTGTGTGTGGAATTGCTAACATAACGGTCAGGATATACAGTGAGACCAGCTTAAATGAATAGTTGTTATTATTTAACATTAAAATCTAAGAATGAACCTCTGAAGACTAAATAGGTTTACCATGCACCAGTCTCCACAAACTCTGTTTTAGTAGTATTTTTTTCTATTGTACGAGTCGATGAAATATGATCATGCAACTTCTTAAAAGAATAAATGTATTAAACAAATTCCTCTGTTATAGATTGATTTATGTTAGTTCTGTGTAACAAGAAATCCCTTGTAAAATAATACCTGATAAAGGAAGAAATGCACTGGGGAAAATGTCAAGATACCAAAGCTGTCAGGTAAATATTGAAGCAGAGTGTTTCAGGGAGTTAAATGCCATTTCTCCCTCTCTAGCTTGATGACACAGTGGGCATATCCCCTGTTGCTGAGAACTTATCTTCAGGTCTCAAAGATTTTTTTTACTCCTAGATATTTTAGTGAATTTTCATTCCATGCAAAAAGAACTCGCCTAGAATAAGCAGCATTTGCATGAAATATTTGGACATAGTTTCCTGAAACCATGTGGAGAAAGGTGACAACTGAAATATTCTGTTGTGATTTAAATTATAGTCATGAGAACAGTTTTAATAAATGCCATCTTTTTAGTGAAAAAGCCAGCATGGACTCAGTGACTTAGTTATCACACACAAGAGAAAAGAAAGTTACAATACCTGCTGTTGCTTTTAAATTAAAATTGTGTTGAAAACTGTACACACAAACATCTAATAAATGCACTAAAAGAAATGTATTCTGTTAAAGGAGCAATGAATTGGAATTTATATTTACTTCATGTGCATCTGCAAGTGCACGTTTGTGTGTGCGTGTGTGTATTTTTTGACATGTAATCTGTAAGCATTTTTTGCTACTGTGGTTTTGCATAGGGAATTAAAATGTCAGAAGGATCTCTAAAATTTCTGGTGGAAGAGAAGAGAAGAAAAATACATTGCATCTGGAAAATTGCTAACCCCGCTGATTTACTTCTCCTCCCTTTCCCCTGTCACATTCCAAGCTTTTTCAGATGAGTGAAATGTCAGCCTCCTTCAAAGACTCTCAAGTTCATAAAGGCAAAGTAAATTAATTGAAATGAAGATGACTTTCATGGCTTGAATCAGAGCAAGATCTGCTCTTTGTACTCTCAGTATCTTCCTTGTGGTTCCTATGGTCTTTAGGGATATTCTTGGAAGTTCTAAAGGCTAAAGGACAAGAGCACATGAATTTAAAAATTCAATTTAAGAAAAAGTACTTAAATCCAGCAAGTATCTCTTCCTAGTAGGAAAATATTTACTGCAGTTAGACATTTTTTGTAATAAAATTTTAAATCAAGCAGATGATGGAGATGAGTGATGTCCTAAACAAACATTCCTTGACTTCATAATAACTCTTTTCTTTATTACTTTTGTGTTCTCTCTTTTTAGTTTTGTTCCCAAGACAAACTTGTTCAACTTTGGCCTGAGAATTACGCTTACATGCAGGAGTTCTTGTTAAAGGATTGTTTAGGCAGCTGTTAAATATCTTTCATGATTTAGAAGAGAATGGCTTCTTTTAATATATTCATATATGTGGTTAATAGGAATTTGTTAACTAAAACTTTGAAATGTAAGATTTAAAAAATTCCAAATTAGCAGTATTCATGTTCATTTTCCTTTGCTTCCTCAATTGAAATTTTAGTATCCCCTTGGCTAATGCTTTAGATTTTTTAACATGAGACACAAAACTCATATAGGCCAGTTTAAATTTCAGTTCATTCCTCTGTTTTCCTATTCTGTTTTTTTTTCCTGTCATTATATTCTAATAATTCACTGGAGTTTCTGTTAACTTATTTTTTCAATTTATATAACATCCTTTAATAGAGGTTCTACATCCATAAGGCTCTGTGTGAACTTAACTGAATCAGCACATTATTTTAAACACCTACAGTGTATGAAGTATTATTTGGGATAATTAAATAAATAATGGAACCAAGGTTCTTTTCCTTAATGAGTTTAAAGTTTTCCTGGAAAGGCAGATGAATAAAGCATCCATAGCCATCATCACATTTTATGATGGCAGTAAGAACTGCGTAACATTTTTGTTGTTAACATTCCCACCTCTTTTATTGGCTGAAAATTTTATTATATATTTAAGTTGCTAATATATAATGAAATGAACTTTTGATGTAATAGGATAAGATAAATCTTCAAAAGTGCACTAAATATACTTCTGAATTTTTTCTTATTCTTTATGAACTTAGGTTAAACAAAGATTCATGGACTAGAATTAATATTGTTCACAATAGTGTTGCATTAGATACTTAAGAGAGGAAAAACTAAGTATATTTCACTAACTTTTATTTAACATCATCATTGGCATTATTGATAATTGAGAGTTTAGTTTCATTGAGTAGCTGATTCACTTGGACATTTGTTCACATTTCATCCCCTCTCTGATTCTTCCACACATTGTTCTGGCATAGATGGTTTAAGAGGTGATTCATGTACTCTTTTTTTCCCTGAGCAATTTGGTTAAGGTTTGGACCTCAGGATAAATCTAATGGAGAATTAGATAAGGTTTGAAGTTCTTTTCATAAAATGAAATTTCAAGAAACAGTTTGTGGTTTTCTGAAGTTATATCATTTATTTCCGATGAATATTAAAAGTGAATTATTTTCTTTTTATGTAACTTCTTATGGAAGAAAAAAAGAAACAAGAAAGGTACTGTAATCTTTGCCCTCAGTCTTGACAACATATCTCAAAAGAATAACAGAGTTACTTAACCTATATAACCTTGAGGGAACTCATGAAATTGTGTGTATAAATTATGAGAGTGTATTAGTTTCATCGTTTCAACTGGCTGTTGATTTTTTTTTTTTTACCTCGAAGGCAGGAGAAAAAGGCAGACCAATGCACTTAATACAAGTTCTCACAAGATGATGTTATGGTTTCCTTTTAGTATCTTCCTCTTCTCAGACACTTGATTTCCATAATATACATCACTACCCTGTGTTTTCAACAGTGCTGTTATATATAATGCTGATTTTAGTTTAAAAGCAAGTAGATGATGCCTTAACTAAGAATTGAAAAGGTCAGCTACAGTGTTTGCATAAGCTGTTCAAAAATTTTAAAATAATTTTCTAAACTTACCAGTGACCCTAACTTTTGTCTTTCAGATTTAATTCAAATAGTGAAAGGCAAATGATTATATTAGATATAATTTTAATTAAAAAATTGCCACTTCTGTTGCCAAATATTTTAGAATATGGAAACGATCTTTTAAAATCTAAGTTGGGCTGACTTTTCTGTGATTAGAATATAATGATGTATGTTTATCATTTAAAATATTATTGCTAACTTAAGCCATCTCTACTTTAAGAAGTTGCATATCCAAAATTCCAATAGACATTATTTCTTTATAATTATTCATATTTTGCATTGAATAGGAATATGAATTTCTGTAAGGGATCTATTTAATAAAATGACATGTTAAATAGTACTTTTGTTCTTACCTCTAAGTCTCATCCTATATATGTATACAAGCCAGGAAGAAATGTCACTGATGATCCAAGTGAAAAAAAAGTCAGAAGTGAAATGTTTAGCAGTAGAGTTAGTATTTATGGCACAATCCCCCAAACAGATTAAATGCAGTATCAGTCTTACAGGGTGTAGTTAATGCTAAAACAGGATATTTTGTTTAATAACTCTCCTTTTGTAAAGAAATATATTGCCATCATTTATCCAGGAAATACATTGAAAAAATGGTGAGCAAAGCCTTAAGACAAGAGCTAGCTAATTCTTCAGTGTGCTGAATAAATAATAGGAAATTAAAAGAAGACTTTTCTTTTCTTTTTAGCCTTAGAATTATATACTACCTTGCAATTTTTTTAAGTCCACAGGGCAAATAAATTATTTCACTTGCGTATTTCATCTTGACACTATGTTACAGCATGTCTGACTTTAGAATACGAGACATTGCATACTAGAATTTTTCATGCATTTTCACATACTTGTAATATTTCCTCTTACCTAGTTATTTTAACGTGAATATTCAAGAGGTAAGAATATAGTAGTCACCCTTATGCATGGTTTCACCTTCTGAGGTTTTAGTTACCCACAGTCAACCTGAGTCCAAAAATATTGTATGGAAAAATTCCAGAAATAAACCTTTTAAATACCATTTGAACTTTAATTACCATTCACAGTAATGTGACAAAATCTCATGCTATCCCACTCTGTCCTGCCTGGGATGTGAATTATCCCTTGTCCAGTGTATCCACACTGGGCACACTGCCTCCTGTTAGTCACTAAGTAGCCATCTTGGTTGTAAGATCAGCTATCAGAGAAGCAAAGAGAAGGGGAGCGCGCGTGCGAGAGAAAGAGATATTACATTCACTTATTTTTTTATTGTAGGATATTGTTATAATTTTCCTATTTTATTATTAGTCATTATGAATATACATAATATATATAGGGTTTGGTACCACCAGCACTTTAATGCATCCACTGGGAGTCTTGGAAAGCATCCCCAAGAATGAGGGGGGAATATTGTAATCTAGAACAATTGCCAGCATTGTCAATGACAGACTTTGAGTAGAAGGCAAAAGGAGCCCCCTACAGGTTACTTACACAGTCTAATAGGTAGACATGAAAAGATTCAACCTCTCAAAATCCCCCGTATCGCTAGAGTAGGGTTCATAACTTAGGGGGCAGTGGGTAGGGAAGTGGTATCTCTGGAGAGAGTTCACAAGGTTTTTAAACTGAGATGGAAAAGTTATTAGATGTTTATTTTCACTAACCACTAGAATAAAATGTAGCATTTAAAAAAATGTATGAATATGAACAACGAACCTAAATAGTATTAGCAGTACCTGTGATTTTTGCCACCAATAAAAAAATAGTTTTCATATTACATTTGTTAGTTATTATAGATATATTGAAATAGTTATCATTTTAGTTTACCATTTGACTAATATAGTTTTCAAAATTCAACAGTTTTCAGACTACTTCAAAA